CATTTTTATTAGTTGGTCGCCAGTAATGTTAGATTAGTTTTCATTTGTTGGCTTAGAAGGATTCTTTCGATTTCAATTTGAATCATGAACAGAGTTATATACGTTGTTTGTTGTCTTGTTTCTTTTATTATAACATTGGGAACACTACCACTCAATGGGAAACGCAGGTACGTCTAATTGACAACTTCCCAATGGGGTGAAGTGAGCTTCGTAAATTCTACTGCTGGTCAACATCCACCAAAATACTCCAAGTTAAATCCTGAGACATATTCGAAGAATCAGCACAAGGAGCCGACATGTCAACAGAGGCCATGCACTTCGGTCCAATCAATCAATGGAAAAGTTCAAATTTACCTAATTAATAACTGTCACCCGTTGCAAGAGTTAGCTCTCGTGACCCAGGCGGTTTAATGGAGAACGCCTTGACATTTTGGACAATAGGTACTAGGTTCGAGTCCCAGTGGGAATACTTTCATCACTCACTGCGGAATAGAAGTACATCCAGTCGACGAGTCCCTAATAGGAAATGTGCATCGTGGATTCCACTGCTAGTCACCATCCACCAAATTACCTCATATCACATTGGTAGCTTTTGTGGCTCACCGTTTGTCCTGTGTTTTTGCTAATTGATTTGGATTGAAAATCATGAATTCGTCAATTTTATTTTATTTTTTAAAAACCAATATTTCTATCTTGCGTCGAAAAATAGATATAATATTTTCAAGGGACGATTTGCAGGTAACTGATTTGATTGGTTACAGGATTTCACCATGAGATGACATCGGCTAGAGTACTGGACGGCTGCCTCTTCCTAGTTCAAGGCTCTTGGGCAGTAAGCACACACTGCCAGGGTCTGAACCCATGACTTCCTGGTAGAACATAAAGCCATTGGGACCCGATCCAGTAGCCAACGCATGAGTTCCAGATTCTGTCAATTCACGATATAGCTCGACTGGCACTAGCCAATGTTATCCGTGGGGAGTATCTGACCTCACACCTGACTTACAATGCCCAATGGTCACGAAATTGCTGTCTAACACTCCCAGGTTTTCCAATGATTCTCTAGCTGATGTCAAATCAAGATGTAACATTCGTCAGCTTATGAGCAGACGAAATACAGAACTTTGCAGATAGTCCAATTACACCTTTTAAGATTATTTTAACCAACGCTAATTAAGTGAACTTTTTTCATTCCTCGTGATCCGGAATCAGTAGGGAAGCATTATTTTGAGAGTACAGTTTATCTCCTAATTATTTCAACATTGTTAACAAAGGATGGAATTTCATCTAAAATATGTAGATGACATTCTTATTGTATGTGAAAGTACACCAGAAGTAGAAAACCATTTGCTGAAATTCAACTCGTGATATCCTAATCATTAAATTTTCAGTAGAACATGAGTAAAATTACACTGCTAGATTCATAGACACTTCTCTGATGATAAACAGGATTGATGGTGCAATGAAGAGATCTATATTTAGAAGAGCATAGAGATTTCATGAGCTTTTTCTCCACCCAGTATGAAAAAACATAGTCAGAATACCGAGCAGAGTACAGAAAGGCTGTTTTTGTATTATATAATATAAGTGTGCACGAAATAAAAACTCTGAGGGATATTTTATCTAACAATGGATATTCTCAGGGTTATATTAGTGGGTATTCCAAGGAAACAAGTGACAACACAATGGTCCAGACCATTTCAAGGAAGACTTTACTTATCATTTTGTTATTTGAAGTATTTGATGTACAAGTAGTTAGAAAAAGACTTAACAAATCTATAAGACGGATATATTATGCCACAAAGCTCGTAATTCCTAACATCACGAGGTGGTTGCTTCAGTGATCTTGAAAATACTGGACAATCCCTTCGACACCTCTGACTGTGTACATTAATTTAAATGAATTTTTTGTACGGAAAGGTTGCTGTCTGCTCACCTGATCATTTAACTGTCTAAATGGTACAGAAAGTTCAATCGCATAAGTTACTCTCCAACAAGCTTACTGACAACACTCCAACATGGGATCAGTTCTGAACCCAAGTAACTCAGTGGTATAGTCTGCTTGTGGCCCTGGCTGGCTCTGATTCGAATCTGGGAAGTGACATCTGTTTCCCAAAGGGTGCAGTCAAGCCACAATGGCGAGTGCTAACAAGCGTGAAATATAAGTATAGGGATTTATACAGATTATGTCCAACCTTCTGAAATCATATAGACTATAGATATAATTGTTGTGCTATAAAGTCATCCACTGTTTTGCCGCAGACAAACAAACAGAAGAATGCTTGTGATTTCAAAGGCTTGTGCAATTAAGACGTCTATATACAGGAAGAACTGGTGTTCACTTAAAGTCTGCTGTGGTAATATCTTTTATTTTGCTAAGTGTTCTTTCATTCTACTGTATCTCTTACTATTGCTAATATGTTTGTCTTAATTAACAAACATTCGTAGTCAATACTATTTTAACTCGTTTCACTATTATTATTAGGCTTATAACTATTCCATATTAGTTTGTTTATTAGATGTATCACACAGTGAAACAGTATTATTTACTGGATGACGTTTCGAACAAAATTTATTTATTGCTCATAATCATATCAATTTAAATCACACGACTTTGAAACTTGAGTTTTATGGTTTTCTTTGTTCTCTCCTATTTGTCGTCGTTGGGGTAGTAGAATTTTCCAGATATCCGACTGGACAGGTGTTGAATCATTCCTATTACACGTATTTGCTGTTCATTCGATAAACAAAGCTTCCGAAATCAATTCCTTCCTCCACGCTGGTACATTGGATTTTTAGACTGTCACCTAATCCCATTATATTGTATGGTTGGTTGTATGTAATTGCATGTGTCAAACTATAGCTGAACTATTCTCCAGATTTCTAATCTTAGTGTTGGGTCAACTAATCTAGATTTTGCTAGGCTTTTATGCTTGGCTAGTCTAGTTGCACTTCTTCTACTTCTTCGACTTATGTATTGGACCTGATAATCATTGCAGGTAGGGTATTGGATAAACCAAATTGTTTTGTTTTAACGGCTCCACAGGATCCTTTAACCGACAAAGCAACCAACCATACAATATAATGGGATTAGGTGACAGTCTAAAAATCCAATGTACCAGCGTGGAGGAAGGAATTGATTTCGGAAGCTTTGTTTATCGAATGAACAGCAAATACGTGTAATAGGAATGATTCAACACCTGTCCAGTCGGAGATCTGGAAAATTCTACTACCCCAACGACGACAAATAGGAGAGAACAAAGAAAACCATAAAACTCAAGTTTCAAAGTCGTGTGATTTAAATTGATATGATTATGAGCAATAAATAAATTTTGTTCGAAACGTCATCCAGTAAATAATACTGTCTCACTGTGTGATACATCTAATAAACAAACTTATATGGAATTACTTACTACCACAGTGCCCATGTTTTACACGCATATTAAAACTTATAACTATTATTCATTATTTTAGTGGTGCAAATTATTTGTGATCCATTATAAACTTAATTTTCATTCTTTTATATACATTCAGCCCTCCATCTTTCTCAGTTTACATTCCTAAATCCTTTATTTTGCCACGGTTTACTCAATGTAGTTTGTGTATAAGTCGTTTACCGCCTTATGTATTCTTCGTAGTATACATGACACTATTTAGACTACCAAAGTAAAAATTTCTACTGAACAACCGTTTCATCTTAGTGTAGACCTCTTTATCAATAAGCACCCAGGGCACCACTAAGTAGCGCAGTGAAGTCAGTTCATCAACAGTCACGAACTGAATCTATAGAGTTTATTGAAATGCTGTTTTGCAGGCACTTGACTGACTACTGTTTTGATCGCAAAATAACATTAGTTAGAGAGTTTTCGTTCGGGACTCTTCATCAGTACGCAAACACTAGGGTTCGAACCCAGGACTTCCCCGTTACAAGGCAAGCTCGTTGACCATTTAGGTATTGGGACCCGATACAATTTCCTATGAATTCCAACTTCTGCCAACCCCAGTGTATTTGACGCAACCGCCAGATGTCGTGACCAGTGGGATTCATGAAGTCAGTCAAGTGGACAGTTACCCGTCGATAACATCTGCTAGTGGTTGCCCTATATACATCCCGAGTTTGCAGAAGCTAGAATTCATAGACTGACCACTGGATTGGGTTCCAGTAGCTGAATTATCTATGAGGTCGCCTTGTTTTCGGGAGATCCTGGTTCCGAACCCTGCTGGTTGCGCACTGATGACTGTCCAGTACACTCTGGTTTTCCAACGGTTCTGTAATTAATTTCACTTTATGATCAAAACAGTAATCAATTAAGTCCTTGAACATTGACATTTGAAAAAGCGTCTAATGATGTTCGTTAAATTCACTTTATCCTGCTTTGTTAATATTCGTTGATTGTTTCAAATTCTCGCTGGAAAATAATCGTTCAAGTACAAACGACATCAAAATAATAACAGGTCCTGGTTGCTTCGAGAGTTTTCTAGAATCATTCAAGACTGAGGAGTTGTATAATATTGGAATTAAGTCTAATTTTGAAAGCGAATTCATCTCATGATCGCATAAACTCAAGAATGCGGTTAAATTTCATTATGATATAAAAACAAACAAAAATTTATTCAATCATTCATACTGTTTCGACTCAAATAGAAACTGACTTTCAGTTGATAATTTCAAAAAAGGTTGAACATATAAATGCTCACTATCAGTAAAATAAAACAGGGTTAACTTACAAAGGAACAACACATGGGATGAACTGTGGAATGAATTCCTCTCTAATTTTTTTTACTAAAACAAAATGGAAAGATTCGGCGGGCCTCTTTATTTATCCTTCTCATGAAATAAACTCGAACAGAAATCAAACAATTTATCTAGGTAAATGATGCATATATTTGCATAATTATAATTACATAATTAAAGTGTCTTCTCATTGATGATTTAAGTGAGATTTCCAAAAATAGTTGTTCCTTGAAGCCATCCAAAATGTTTGTTTGTTTGTGTGTGTGTGCGTGTGTATCACATCGTTGTCGACAATCTTCATTCAGTTTCAAGTACGATTCACAAATCCGAACTTCATGTTATTAAAAAAATGGCTTCTGTGCATTAGGAAGACAGAATCCCCTAACAGAATTTACCGAAATCCAATTGTCCTTCTGTGGAATTGAGGTTTTTCTTAGTTTTCGAAACGTTACTTACTGATGTGGTTGAATTCTACACTACTTGTTATGGCTGATTATATATATTGTTTTCTTTATTATTTTAAAGGAATGTAATCAGGAAGTTAAACTGTACAATAGAATAGATTGACGCTATACAGTGTCGACAGATTGTCGCATGATGAACCACTCTCCTCTATAAACGTGTCAGGACACAGTGTTCCGGAGAATAATTCACATACTGATCAATATACGGAATAGGCTCTGTATTATTATAATTTATACCATTAATATTTGCATAGATAATTTCAGAGAAAATATTATATTTATTTGAATAAAGTGATATTGTATCATCATTGTTAACTAGTGTAGTAGGCGTCCATTCCAATGGATGATGTTGATATTGTTGGGATTGTGGTTGTGGCTTTATTTGGTGTAGTTGTTGTTGTTGCTGGTGCTGCTGCTGTAGTTGTCGTTGGTTGTCATGGTTACAGTGGTGGTGGTATTGGTGACGGTGTTGATTTTCGAAATATTCTAATCTTTGTCTATATTTGATACGTTGTCTCCTTTTTCGCCAACCAACCACTCGACAGGTCAGTATCTCCCATAGAGTATCTCGGAATGTTGGCATAAATGCCAGATACAAGAAAAAATCGAATGCATGATTGAATGAATCCACAGAACTAAATAACTTTGAATACTGGACAACTTTTTTAGCATAAGCCGGGTACAATACATCATATTTATAAAAGTGTACCTCTTGTCTGAGTATAATTGTTACAACCAGGGGGATAGATAGACAAGTGAACAGAATACTAATAGCCAGATGAGCTATCACTTTACCCATTTCATTCTTCGATTCTTCATCTTTAGCCCCGATCAATTTGGATCGATAGACAATAGTGCTCAACTTGTACAGAATAAGAATATTTGTAATGAATATGAAGATAGCAGGGAGGATAGCTACACCAACAATATATAAGTAGAGAACGTATTTAACGCCGCCAGCTAACGGATTAATATACTGGCATTCACGATTACTGTTTATCGGTGTGATTTTTAAATCTGCAAATATTAAATGAGGAATATTCAACAGCAGAGATATCAGTGTAACCAAGACAATAATTACATGGGTTAATTTTATGTGTGAACCTTGTTCAAAATACTTTGGATTATAAATGGAACAAACACGGTCGACACTGAATAACATCAGGATGAAGGCAGCAATCAGTGCGGATGCATCAGTTAAATAGGTTTGTACTTTACATATAAATGATGACTGGATATCAACTTGTATTGACAGTTTACATAAGGTGGCGTATTTTAATCCACGACCTAAAAAATCATCTATGAGTGTATTAACTATTAATTGCATATTATGCGCTATAGACATCCATATAGCATAAAGATTAAAACGACATTTACTACGATGTTCAAGGACAGCGAAGACAATTACCACGAGAAAATTTGTTGGTATACCAATAATCACTAGAATTGGAGAGATATACGCTCGAAAACCGTAGACAAGACTTTCTTCTTTGGTTAAATCTGTTAAACATCCTTTAGTAGTAGATGACATAATTGTGTAGATGAATACATGAAATAGAATAAAGTGATGAGTATTTGTTTATTGTTTAGTCATATCAATAGGCGGGACATTTAAAAGGCTTTTGATAAATATACATATATATATATGCTGATAGTGTGATTCGACCATAGGCGAATAAACGCCATAGGCTTTCTGATTGGTCACCCTGGACGTATATATATATGCGAATTAGAAATAGCAATATACACGCTAACAAAATAGCATTGTGTTCACTAATTTATTTACGAAGAATACAGTTTCACAATTCATCTGTTTACCGCTAGACACAATTTTTATATGCTCCATGTTTTTTTTGATATTACCCCTATTGTAAATGTAGAAACATTTTCTGTGTGATTAATTTTATATATAATTTGTGGGAAATTAGATGCAATATTGTGAATAATGCTGAAAATTCCATCCTGTATCACAAGTACTGTTTTTGGAATAAAGTAACTTATTATTATTATTAAATATTTCCGTCAAATATTCAATAAAATTTTGAATGATATCAGAATAAAAGTTGGGTACTGTGGTAGAGTATAACTGCATTATAGATAATATTTTATTTTGATAAAATCACACAGTGTTGTTGTAGAGCAATATTAACTGATGACCAAGTTTCTAGCATTAACTATTGCTCATCATCATATCAAGTCATTCACACAACTTTTTACTTCATTTATATACATGAGTGAAATTGATTAGACATTTGAATAAAAATCAGTATAAGATAAAGTACATTCGGAAATAATAATATGAATGTTACTGATCAAATACAATCAGATGGGAAAGAAAATGTTTTTATAGTCAAACTAAGTATCTTGTTAGAATGTTATAATGTATGTGAAATGAAATAGAATTTTGAGATTATTTATTATGCTCCTCTGATTTGACTGACTGGTGGTAATAATATCTTCCATATTTCTGGTATTTGCATTGAGTCATTTCTGTTGCATGTGTTGGGTGTAGACTCAATGAACAAGGATTCTGTAATCAATCTCTCTCTACTTCCACCTACCTATATTACTTCTTAGAATTTCAACCCTCTCCAACACTATAGTATATTTGTCTCTTGATTCATGCAGAGCAGACACTGAGTTTTTCTCTAAATTACTTATCTCCTCGGGGTCAACCATTCTTACCTTAGCTTAATTCTTATGTTCCGACAATCTGACTACCTGTGACCTACCAGTTTAACCTACGTAGTTGACTTAATTCACACTAATTGTGAGGTATTTTGTAAATTATATTATTTTGTCTAATTGGGTCCACCGGGTCTTTCAGCCTACAGAGCCTGTTCTACCCAAGTGAGTTTGTAGGTTTGAATGCCACCCTAATTCCTGCTTTATTACGAATGCTATGTAGGGAGAGTTTTATATATCCCCTCCGTATATGGTACAACTGCAGATGCCTTATATTCTCTTATTTATGTTATCATTATAATTTTCCCCATTATTTTTATTTTACTTTTGACCTATTCTGATATCCCTAATGAATTTTATACGATAGTTATTTAACACCAACGCTTCTGCTATCTGTTTCATTTCATCGTTTATTACCGCTAGTCAAATCAGAGGAGCATAATAAATAATCTCAAAATTCTATTTCATTTCACATACATTATAACATTCTAACAAGATACTTAGTTTGACTATAAAAACATTTTCTTTCCCATCTGATTGTATTTGATCAGTAACATTCATATTATTATTTCCGAATGTACTTTATCTTATACTGATTTTTATTCAAATGTCTAATCAATTTCACTCATGTATATAAATGAAGTAAAAAGTTGTGTGAATGACTTGATATGATGATGAGCAATAGTTAATGCTAGAAACTTGGTCATCAGTTAATATTACTGTATAACAACACTGTGTGACTTTATCAAAATAAAATATTATCTGTATATGAAGATTTTGAATGAGTTGTGTTCTTTGAGCTAGTTGATTTAATTGTGAAGCTTTCGTCATCTCTTTCCCCCCTCTACATAATATCTGCAACGAAGTTTTAATATAAAATTTACTCATTTAAATTCTTCCTGAATGCCCAACGGTTTCGCTGTCAGGAACACCAACATATAATCTATCTAAAGAATGTTTCAGAAAATTAAAATATCTAACAGAATCATGAGACCACTCTGTTAATTTTGCCAATACGATTTTTAGAGAAATTCAAAAATATTCAAGTGGATGACAATGAAATAACTGTGTCTTTTGATGTCACAGCATTATATAATTCAAATCATCCATAGATAGGAAAAGAAACTATGCAACAACTACTCTTTAGCGACGAAAACACAAAAAGTCAGTGTTCAACTTGGATGGAACTAATAGAATCATACTTTCAATTTATTAGTCAAGAATACGAAGAGGTAAAAGGAACATCAATGATATCGCACATATCAGGATGAATAGCTGAAGCCATCATGCAAAGATTACAATCAATAGCCCTGTCTATAATTAGACCAACAAACTGGTTACGATACGTTGATGATACGCTTATAAGAATAAAAAGAAGTGTGATTTGGAATACACTCACAAACTAAACAACAACATATGTGAAGACATCATATTCACAAATGAAGAAAAATTAGATAACAAAATCCAATTTTTAGATGTCTCAATCAGGAGAACTAACACTAGAAATTTAGAAACACAAGTATGCAGAAAGTCAACGCACACATATCAAATACTCAACTGTAATAGTAATAACCCGATTACCTACAAAAACTGTGGGTAGACATTGTTTAAAAGAGTTCAAAGACACTGTAGCACTTCTGTGTTGAAGAGAATGGAGTAGAAATACCTACCAGCCGTCTTCCAAAAGAATGGATATCCTCATAGTTGCAGTAAAAAGTGTTTAAACTCAAATCGTAACATCAACAACAAGTCGACATCAATAGCCACAAGAAAACTTATTTTACCATATATAAAAAATATCTCTGAAATAACCACTAGAATATTAACACTGTTTGAAATAGATATATCACACACACTAGTCTAATCAATTCATTCGATATTTTGCAAACCAAACTATCCGACAGAAAAAGAAGGTAAAATTAATACTATTTACAAAATAAATTGTATGCATCGGTCAATCGGTCAAAGTGGGCGTTCCCTTCGAATCCGAATCCAGTAACACAGATTGACTGTAAAAAGACATTATGCGTGTTCTTACCTGTCAATGCATATGGATAATTATGGACACCAGTTTGATTGAGATAATGTACAAATTTTAAACAGAGAGAACACAAAAAATGCCAGGGAATGACTAAAGGCCTGGTACTCAGGTGAATCAGCGAGAAATAAACAAACATATTATTACAGACGAAGTTTACCGACGTGTGCGTCGGTGGTAGAGCAGTAGAATGCTTGCCAACCACGCCACAGTTGGTTTGGAGTTGGAACCCTGGCTACAGACACACTCCTTTACCTCTCTAAGCCAGTAGTAAGACTGGCAAAGAGGGAAGCTTGGGCATGAGGCTAGCAACTCCATCCTATAAAAAAAACACTGCCACAGACACTTCAAGCCTCTAGCTTAAAGCCTTTTGTTTCACTGGGAAGGTGAAAGAATTCAAAAAAGATTACCAGCTGATAACAAGTGAATCACAAGACAAGAAAGTTCTAATTCTAAGTCAACAAAAATGGTCAATAGAGACGTAAATTAACAACCAGTCACGACAGTGGTCGCCAGGAGATGTAGCTGCATCATTCATGGAGAATATAAATTAGTCTATTTTATACTAAAACCTGCATTGAAGATGTCCAGAGAGACAATGAAAGCCTGGGAATTAAATCAACCAGCGCATAGAGCACAACTAATTCAGCTTCATCCACCTGAGCTAAAAATATTCCCCATTATTTCAATTAGTAAGATTTTTTGTGATCAACTGAATATTGAGCGCTATTTTTCTCTCTTCAGTATTTTATCTTCAGTTGGTTTTATCTGCGCGTACTTTCCAGTCTGTTGTGGTTCATCTTTGAAGCTTTGAGGTTTCTGTAACGATTAGTTTGATTTGCCACCTAGCTGTCCCTCTTCCTCCTCTGCCTAATTACCGGCAAGTAAACTAAGCAAGGTTGAAAGCGAGGGAGTACTGGATAGCGTCCTTCTGACCTTGTGTTGAACTCTCCAGAAGTCAACACCCACAGACTCTTAATAGGTCGAACCAAGGACTTTCAGATACAAATGATGGTTCATTCTGACCTCTCATCCAATTCGTTGGAGACTTGGAAAGTCATCAAAAGCATTTCCAACAGGATATTGGAATCTTTCATCAACCGGTGCCTTTTCTGGCTCCACACTATAAATCAGATGGCCTTTCAGAAAGGATTAGCAACAGGAAACTCTGGGGACGAATCAACCAATCAAGAACAAATCTCCTAAAAATTATTCCGAAAAGGGTGGTCAAGGGTTAGCCATTTTGTCATACTACGAACTTCTAAGTATTCCTTAATTAAAACTAAACAAGTACTCAACGCGCAGTGGAGAAAACTTACTTCTACAGCTTGCCTTGAAAAGAGATTATACTGCTAACAGAATAAGATGCAAACAGAAAGCTGCCTTTAAAAGAACATATCCAAACGTCAACCTTGTTTGATATAAGTATAAAACTTGGGTACTGTGGTAGAGCATAACTCCATTATGGATAAGATTTTACTTTGATAAATCACATATAACTGATGGCGTTTCGAGCATAAACTATTTCTCAAAATCATACCAACTCGAAACGCCATCAGTTAATATTACTGTACAACACTGTGTGATTTATCAAAATAAAATCTTATCCATAACAGAGTCAATCTTGTTTGTGATTATTAAACAAACAGCTGTTTAAGACAATCAAAAGTGAACAGCCTCCTAACTGATGTCGTCTCCGACTGCATCTAACCATCTACATTATTATTATTGTTCCTAAAGGAACATAGGGTTTCAACCGCACGTCTCCATTGCGCTCGGTCCTCTGTCAGTGTTTTCACCTGGCTTCACATCTGCCCACACACTGTCATCTCCTATTCACATGACCTCCTCCATGTAACCTACGCACTGACTACCAACTCGCCA